CGTAGTCGGATATTGGGCTCTGGTCATCTGAAAGTACAGATGGTCTAAACATCCAAAATGACAGCTTGCATGGCTATCGGCCAACCCTGGGTGCTGGCTGGGAGCTCAGCTGAGACCACAGACCAGAGCACCTACAGGCAGCTTCTTTCGCAAGGCAGTCTCCGTGCTTCCCCAGAAGCAGTATCCAAGGAAACCTGAGGGTGCTGCATGACCATTTGTGACTTGACTGCCTGAACAATTACCAAGACTAAAGGAAATGACGTAAGTCCCGGGTCTGGACTGTCATTGGTAGAGAGAGTAGGAGTGGATGAGTACGTAGACTGAAGGCAGATTCCACAGGATTTGGCAATGGACACATCTACCAATTCACCCTTAAACTATAGGAACATGATAGGTTTCCAAAAATCGCTTAGTCATTGCCTGAATTCAAATCCAGTCTCTACAGAGGGTGGCAATGTGGGTAGTAGAAAGTGGGAAAGCCCCAGGTGAAACCAGCCCCCTCACGCACTGGCCAGGGGGCTTGTCCCTCCTGGCACAAAAGGGCCTGGACTCCCGGCATCACCCCTTCCTTCCCATCCCCAGCCTCCCAACCGCCGGCAAGAAAGATGTGAGGAGATGCAAAAGAATAAGACACTGGCTGGAAAGACCCTTTCAAAAACAAGTTCAAAAATGTCTACAGCCTTCTAAAAGGGCTGTCAGGGGAGACCCACACCCATTTGCATGGGCGAGTCTGGGGTAATTTGGTCTTTTACTCCATGACCTGACTTGGTAGTCACAGCCCCTCCTTCTTTACAAGTCAGTGTTCTCTGAGGAGCCTTTTCCGTCAAAAAGAAACCACCACTGTTGCTGGTTTGAGAGAGACTATAGGGGCATCTTCATGCTCCATGAGTCTTGGTGGCGACAGGGTCAGCGTTCTGCTTAAGGACCACAAGTGGCTCAACAGATCAAGGTCCAAACCCAAGACTATGATAGTGGCTATTTTTCTCTCAAAAATTTCTTTAACAAACATGTGTGTAGCCACTTACTATGTGCCAGGCAATGTTCTAACCATTTTATAAAACATTTAGGGGCTTCCCTGGTGGCGCAGTGGTTGAGAGTCCGCCTGCCGATGCAGGGGACACGGGTTCGTGCCCCGGTCTGGGAAGATCCCACATGCCGCAGAGCGGCTGGGCCCATGAGCCATGGCCGCTGAGCCTGCGTGTCTGGAGCCTGTGCTCCGCAACGGGAGAGGCCACAGCAGTGAGAGGCCCGCGTACCACAAAAGAGAAAAAAAAAAAACAAAACAGTTAGTCATTTAATGCTCCTAACTATCGTACAAGGGACGTATGGCTATTATCCTTCACCCAATACTCAGCACACATTGAGTGAGCGTTGTATAGATCAGGACGGTGAGTCACAGAGAAGCTAAGCGACTTGCCCAGGTCATACAGCTCGTTAGTGGCAGAGCTGAGATCAGAACCCAGAAACTCCGGCTCTGGAATTTAGGCTCCTTAGCACCATATGAAGCTGTCCAACACTGTGCTTTGGTGGAAATCTGCATATCTATGAGAAATGCTTTCAGCAGCAAATAAAAGACAACTCCACTTAAGAGTGGCACAAACAAGTAGGAAGCGTTTCAGTAACAAAGTCTGGAAGTAGTAGTCTTCTGTCTTGGGCTGGTGGAACCACTTAAGAATCCTGTCAAAGATCCAGACTCTATCTTTTCCCCTCCACCATTTTAGTCTGTTGACTCGTCGCCTCGTGGTTGTAAGACGGCTGCTGTACCTCCAGGTATCGTGTCCAAGATCCAGGCAGGAAGAAAAGATAAGAATGAGCTCCCCCTGTGGGGGGGGCTTTGTCTTTTTATTTGGAAAGAGAACCTCTCCCTAGCATGCTTCCCCTAACAAAACTAGATAACATACCTGCCGTTACTGTATTTGGTTTTAACCAATCTTGATTCATCTCATGAGGCTGGGATTGCAGCTTCCCTGAGATCTGGGGCCTCCTTCCTCTCACCTGAACCTATCAAGGTTCTGTGCAGCAGAGAGGCAGTGGCTACAGAGGAGACAGCAGAAAGCATAGGCCACAGGTAGGTATTACTATCCCCATTTTACAGACGGACTCATTGAAGCTAGAAATCACAGGGTCAAAATCACATGGCTGGCAAAACGGTAGCCCCAGAATACTAACCCGGGTCCATCTGATTCTAAATCTCGTGCTCTTGACAATGGCAAGGTACACTGTGGAGTGGACTCAAGACTGGAGGGATGCAATTTGGCTTTGGGAAGCCACTCAACTTCCTTCAGCCTCAATCTTCTCATCTCTAAACTGTAGCTAACAGTGGTACCTAACAAGAGAGTGGCTGTGATGGTGAAATGAAATAATACACGTCAAGAGCCTGTCAACACTAGGCAATCAGTAACGTTGGGCCTTTTTTATTGTTGTCACTATTATTGCTGCTGTTGTTGCTTTGTGTGCTGCGAGACTTTGTGGCCACAATGTACTCCATCCAGATGAACACACCACGTTGAGAATCTCTGGGGGACACGGTAGCGGGTGGGCCTGAAAGTGAGGAGAGGGTGCTCATTATATCAGTACGTATAGATCCCTGAGTCCTGAAACTTGTTTTGCTTGCATTTAGGGACCCAGAGTCTGGTCACTCAAAATGTTGGTCCACCAATCTACAGAGCATAAGAGTTAGCTTTTAGCATTCTTTCTGCCAAGAGTAAAATGCTGTTTGGCCAGAAGCACTTTGCTTTCCATTTTTGGACCTCCATGTTTTTACCTGTGCAGTGGGTTGGTTTTTCAACGTGTCATGAACATTCATTGAACACCTATTGCGTGCAGTATGCCATGGAGGTGCAGTGATACCAGAGACAGATGTTGCTCTCAGGAAACTTAGAGATTTAAAGATCTTCAAAGTTCCTTTCTGTAATAACACTCGATGACCTTAATCCGAATGACATTAATTGTTTTGAGGATTAACTGTGCTAGTGGTATTGTAACTAAAATCGCTGAACAAATGCTCAAAGTGAAAATAGTCTTACCGTGTGATCCAGCAATCTTGCTCCTTGGTGTTTACCCAAATGAGCTGAAAACTTATGTCCACTCAAAAACCTGCACACGAGTGTTTATAGCAGCTTTATTTATAATTGCCCAAACTTGGAAACAACAAAGATATCCTTCAGTAGGTGAACTGATCATTAAACTGTGGTATCGCCAGACAATGGAAATTATTCAGCACTAAGAAGACATGAGCTATCAAGCCATGAAAAGACATGGAGGATCTTAAATGCATATTACTAAGTGAAAGAAGCCACTCAAAAAAGGCTACATGCCCTCTGATCTAACTCTGTGACATTCTGGAGAAAGGAAAACTACAAAGAAAGTAGAAGATCAGTGGTTGCCATGGGTTTGGGAGGACGGAGGGAAAGATTGATAGGTGAAGCACAGGGCATTTTTAGGGCAATGAAAATATTCTGTAATGGTGGACACATAAAATTATGCATTTGTCGAAACTGTAAAGGTGGACACCTAAAATTATGCATTTGTCAAAAACCCAGAACTACACAACACAAAGCGTGAACCCCAGATGTAAACCATAGTCTTTGGTCAATCGTAATATATCAATATTGGTTCATAAACTGTAACAAACGTACCACACTAATGCGAAACGTTAAGAATATGGGGAATGGTGTGGGGGGTGAATATATGGGTGCTCTCTGCAGTTTCTACTCAATTTTTTGTAAACCTAAAATTTCTCTAACACATAGTCTATTTACTTAAATATAGATAGATTTTAACAACATTCATATCTTTGAACCAGTGATTTCACTCCTGAGAGTCTCTTGCGATGTACGATGTAGTAGAAGGAAAGCTTCATTTACAGAAGGGAAAAAATGAAGTAACCTATGGTTCATCACCAACAACCACATGGACAAAAGCAAATGAAAAAGAAGTAGTTGAAAAGGTTTTGAAATAACGTGAACAGTGCTTTGCCAAAAAAGGCAAATGGAAGAAAAATGCAACGCTCCTTAAGATATTAACCACTATGGAAAATTTTTGCATTAAAATAACACCAATGGTTTATAATGAAAATTTCTATGATGCTACCAAAGGTCATGACAGTACGGTTAGCTTAGCTTTTTTAGTCTTTTCCCAATTTCTTATAAGATTTTGATATTATTATTATTTTTTTTAAAAAACAAAGGTCTATGAATCCGCTAACTGGGAAAGAAAAGACAAAAACAGGCGGCAAAGCCAGCCAGCTAATAACAATAGCACCACGTCCACCTCCACCACCATTTCTTAGGAGCTCACTGCATCATGGAAGCCAGGGTTCTTGGTACTCTGATCCGTTGTTAACTCATTTGGGTAACTCACTGAAAGTCACAGAGCTGCATGGCCCTTCCGGGACATGCAACCAAAGTAGCTGCCACCTGAAGCTCTGGCTTAGTCAAAAGATACTATTGAGAGCCAGAGTCAGGAGTTACCCTAGGCACACAAAGGCAGATGGGAAATAGAAGTTCAGAGGCCAAGAGAGGGGTTGAAGAACCTATTCGCTCACTCACCCACCCAGAAAGCCTTTATTTACTGCTTCCTAGAGGCCGGGCACTGGGGATGCACTTCCAAATAAAAGGAAACCTCTGACCTTTAAGAGCCCGCAGTCTAGTCTCCCCACAACCCTGTATTTCCAAACTGTGATACTTCTGTTAGTGGAAAGGCACACTACCCGTATAAAAGGCTGGATGGAATAACAGGCATCAGCTGGAACTGTTTCAGCGATCCTGGGCATGCGGTCACCCTAAGTCCCCCCAACGAAGTGCAGCTCCCAGAGGGCAGGAAGCCCCCCCACAAACCACAAGATGATAACTGCCCCCCCTCACACCACCCATGTTACCTCACTTAAGCTGAATGTGGGGGGTCAGGGAATTTATTTCTGACTCTCCCTCCCACCCTACCTCCACGACATCAAGCATTTCAGATCAAGGATCTGTGAATCATAGGTCAGGTTGACTCACTTCTTAAAGTTTCCAGGTTGTGAATGACAGCGTCACTGATCAGTTGAAGGAGGATCAAATCGGTGAGAGACAATGCAACCTGCTCTGCGTTTATCTGCAACAATGGAAACCAGATTCACAAGTATTTTATTGAAAAGGTGGGGGTGGGGGGCAGTCAGGGTCCAGGGGGAGGGGGTGGGCAGCTGCTGAAAACTTTGCAGCAAGTGAGGGTTGGTAAATGGAAACCACCCATCATTCCTTTGTATTATTTCCTGTAATTTAAGATATGTACGGTATTGATGATATTCTTTCGTTGTGCTCTTTGTTTTCTTTTGGTTCACGTGGAAAATGTTTATGTTAGGCTTCAGGAAGCTCAGTTACAGATTCAGAGCCTATAAGATTATGTTCTTCCATTTAAGAAAGGGAAAGGGAAGGAAGGTAACAAGGGCTGAGCACCTACGCAGAGTTTTCTCATAGAAGACCCAGCAGCGCGGGAAGCAGAGGCTGGAGAGGTGGAAGCACCTGCCCCGGGAGCTCTCAGGAGAGCATCACAGACCGGCCTCATTCCCATACAGACCTGCTCAATCAGGGAACGCTTAGCCCAAGGGGTGTTCAGAAACAAAAGCTCACAGTAGAGGTGCAAAACCATGTTGGGAACAGGAAAACCAAAGCCCCAGAGACCTTGTGAGCTAGGGCTCCCACGCAGCTTTCACACCCATTCACCCTGACCTTTCACCTGCAGAACCCCTGCTCTCTCCAGACTCATGTGAAATGCCAAGGGGCCAGAGCTCTCGCCCCACGTGAGAAAGCCTTCCTGAGACCCCCAGGGAAACCGACTGGGGTGTGATTCAGCCCCTGTGACCCCTGTGGTCCTGCATCTCCAAGCAGGGGAACACACGATCAACCCAGCCTTGGGGCTCAGGGGGGAAACTCTACTAATGAATCATGGCAGTGCAGAACCTTCTCTGGGCCTCCCTGGGAACCCACTGAAAGGCCTGGTGTGTGTCACCAGGGGCCAAGGCAGCTGCACGATTCTCATGTGAAATGAGACCATTTCATGGGTTTTGGTGGTCTCTTAAGATGCCTCATCAATTCATGAGATGATCTATCTGCAGGTGACAGGGCTCAGAAATGTCAGGTGAAACATTCACAAGTGAATGTGTTTTTTTTAACGTTTTTATAAAGTGGATACTTGGCTAATTTGGAATCATAATATTAATAGATGGAAACTCAGAGAAGGTTCGGGACTTGCCTAAGGACACAGAGCTGGAACTAGACAAACCTGCAGGTAGAACTCAGGGGTCCATAACCCCTTCCCCAATACCACCCTGCCTTGCTTAGAATGAAAACACCACACAGAGCAAAGGAAAAAATATATACGTTTTAATTGGATAATAAAGTAATAAGAAAGAAGAGTAAGACCCAAAGTCAATGCGTTCCTGGCAATCATGGATTGTTGATGACATCTAAGAGCTCTGGGCCAAATCTCTATTTTAAAATTTTAAAATATATTTTAATGAAAATATAATAAAATATATTGAATTAATTCAAATGAAAATTTAAATATAGTTTTAAATATCCCCTTTCCCATTCCGACACAAAGTGGCATGTAAACTAATATATTCTGTAGGTCAATCTGGTGGTACTGTCTAAACCCTATTATTCAGACTCTAAGAGCTGAAAGAGGTTCACGGAGCCCACTGTACAGATGAGAAAAGTAAGGTACAGGGAGAGGAGATGACCTGCCCAATGAAACCCAGTCAGCTAGGGGCAGAGCTGACTCCGGCTCGAACATCACTCCCATATCCAGACCTGTGGAATTCCCAGGCCCGAGAGCACTTCCCGAGCTTCTGCAGACAAGGGCATTCAGGTGCCTCCGGCAATCCTGAGCATCTCACATGATTCCGTCCACAGGTTTGACATAATCTCCAAGGCAGGTGGCTGATTTTCATGAAATGTATTGTAGCTACCAAAAGACAGCAGTGGACATGGTTAGTCTGTCAATGTGTACAGGAGAAGGGATCCTGAACTGTAATGAGCATGGAAGCAGCTAAACAGTGGATTCATTTGGTCCAAATAAAAGATATTATAACCACACAATGTAATAAAACTACGTAGCAGTTACAAAGGGTAAGGCAGGGGCTTCCCTGGTGGCACAGTGGTTGAGAGTCCGCCTGCCGATGCAGGGGACACGGGTTCGTGCCCCGGTACGGGAAGATCTCACATGCTGTGGAGTGGCTGGGCCCGTGAGCCATGGCCGCTGAGCCTGCGCGTCCGGAGCCTGTGCTCCGCAACAGGAGAGGCCACAACAGTGAGAGGCCCACGTACCGAAATAAAAAAAGGGTAAGGCAGCTGAAATGGATAGCACTCCTTGATATATGGCTGAGTTCGAGAAGGCAAGTTGAAAAAAAATCTGTTTATCAAAAACAGCACTCTGTGTGTTTTGTGTGTGTGTGTGTGTGTGTGTGAATGCACTGGAAAGGTCTGCAAGGATGTGTTCCAAAGTGATAACCTAAGCAGAGGGGATGAGGAAACAAGACTTGGGGCCAGTGATCAAAAAGGACATTAGCCTTATTTGGAAAGATTGTTTTTCCCCAAGGTGAAAACATTCAGTTACTAGTTATATAATAAGTGATTGATGTTTTAGAAAGAGAAAAATAGAAATAGGATATTATTCATTCATCTATCTATTCACTCAAGTATCTGAGCACCAGCTACGCACCAGGAATAAAACAAGATGAAAAATACAGCCCCTGCCCACAAGGAGCTTATACTCTAACGGGTGAGCGGGGAGGTTTGCTCGCTTGGTATATGCACAATCAGGTATGTTATATGTGCTCTGGTGAAAGAAGAAAACAGCACAGAGTGGGGAAAATAAAGTGATTTCCATGTTTCACAGCAGATCCAGCAGCTGAAACAGAGTCATCAGTAAATTCTGCCAAGACCCGCCATCTTGAAACAAAAGGACCACGACACCACTTTGCAAATGGACAAACCCCCGGTAATTTTAAAAGAATCTCAACTGTCTTTGACTTCGGTTAGAGTTCACAGAGGAATATGATAGTACCAGGAATAGTTTATAGGTTCCCAAAATTGAACCTTCTTCACAGAGGGAGATGGTTTTGCTGCTTTTTAAAGGCACCGACTCTTTGGCTGTGTTTATCAGTACATATGGTTTACGCTGCTAGGCTGGAGCATCCACTCATTCTCCCATCCGCCAAAATTGCTGTTTTGATTTGAAATTCCAAAAATAACTCATGAGAAGCCTGCAGTGTGAGAGGAAGATGGTTGCACACAGCTCCAGGGAGGAAAAGAGAAAGCATTTGATTTGAATTACCTAAGAGCTGAAATTGGGTGCAAATATCTCCTTGTAACAACTGCTATATAATTAGCCAACCTAATGGAATCCTTTCAAAACCAAGGCAGTTCAACAAGGAAGTTTAATTGAAAAGAAAATTTCCAGACCAACTATTCTGTCAAAACCACATTAAATGAAGATAGCTCAGCACTGACCAAATCACCAGTAAAAGGTATTATGTGTTTGGGGAGAGGGGGTGAAAGGGAGGGGTGTGCTCTCCTATATGAGGGAAATGCGGTGATGTTCTAGGCTCCCTTTTCCAGTTTCATGTGTCTTCTAGTCACCGGGCAAAAGGATTCATTTCTCTCTAGGCCAGTGTTACTGCTGGGACCATCCCCTTTGTGAAGTGTTTCCCAGTCTCCTGAAAAGAAGAAGCCAGGATAAAAATCTCGGAGATGGGGCTTCCCTGGTGGCGCAGTGGTTGAGAGTCCGCCTGCCGATGCAGGGGACACGGGTTCGTGTCCCGGTCTGGGAGGATCCCACATGCCGCGGAGCGGCTGGGCCTGTGAGCCATGGCCGCTGAGCCTGCGCGTCCGGAGCCTGTGCTCCTCAACGGGAGAGGCCACAACAGTGAGGGGCCCGCGTGCCGCAAAAAAAAAAAAAAAAAAAAATCTCGGAGATAAAGAGGGGGAGAGAAGAGAAAATGACACTCACCATCCAAACCTGTTCATTAAGAGCAGGCCCCTCCCATTCCAGGAGGACCACACTTGTCCATGGGCTCGTGGGGGACCACAGTGACAAGAAATGACCTTCACACTTGGACTTTCACCTTTGTCACTTACTAGCTGTGTAACATCTGCCAAGTTGTTTAACGTCTCTGAGTAGCAGTTTCCTCATCTAAAAAATAAAAAAGGATTACACTAGCACACCTCAGTGGATGGTGAGGAAGACAAACTGTGACAATGTACATGAAACTGCTCCCTGGGGTCGGAGCTGGAATCTGTGCACGAGAGACCTAGCGCTCCATGGATGGGGTCCGGTACCGCGTGCTGGCGGGGTGGGAAGGACCACCAGGTGCTTCCTTGGTACTCAGGATGGGCTGGCCACAGACCAGCAGCAGCAGCAGCGCCTGGGAGCTCATCATTAGTGCAGAATCTCAGCCCCACACGGATTAACTGACACAGAATCTGCGTTTACTAAGGGCTCCTGGAAGTTGATGTGTGGCTCAAATTTGAGGAACAATGGCCTCAGCTATCGCTTGGGTGTGTGACTCTGCACCTGGTGACCCGAATCAAGAGAAAGTGTTCTTCAGGCTGCCCTTTAAGAGGGAGAAGCGGGTTCCCCAGAGGGCCACCCGTGGTGTGAACCATTTCTGGACTCTGCCCCCCAGCCTTCCTGCCTGCAGAGGGGACATCAGGCAGAGCCCAGGGCCTCCCGAAACCAAGGCATTCTCCACCGACCAGGCTGGACTACTCTGGGGTCCAAAGCCATGTTATCATGGATGTCCCTATGTCGTCACACATGCCCGGGGAACAGGCCCTGTGTGCCTTCGAAGAGGACAATGGCAATAGCTGGTAAGAAGCGAATGGGCGTGGAGGCCTCAGGAGGGTGGGAAAGAACGACAGACCATGGAGCGATAAGACACAGATGCGTCCAGTAAAAAAGGGAACGCTAGACACACACGGATTGTCTTGTATATGCATAGACCGTCTCTAGGACGACAGACAAGACTCTTCTGACGCTGACTGCCTCCTGCAAGGAAGACCTGTTGGCTGGGGAAGTGGAAATTGAGGGGGACATTTTACTTTCATTGAATATCTTTCTGGACCTTTTGACTTTTTTCAGTGGTGTGACTGTATGCCAAGGAAGGAAGGGAGGGAGGGGAGGAAAGAGAGAAGGAAAGAAGGAAAGTAAAGGGAGGGAGGGACGTTCAATTAAAAAAAAAAAAAAAGATAGTTGAGTCACTTGTTACACAGGGTTAGGTTTAAAAGTCCTCCCAGGAAATTCAGGCCATTAAGCCAACTTTTTTGCTTAAAGTCGCACCACTTAGCCTGCGACCCTTTCTTCAGGCTGACCACACAGCCAGCAAGCCTATGTCTGAAAATGCTCAGAAATGTGGAGGAATTCAGCGAGGGGACGTCCTGTGTGGCAGACCTGCTCACCCCTGACTCCATCTCCCCAGCCCTCGGGCTTCTCTGCAGAGCGGGGTGTTCACCGTGCCTATTTGCCTCACACCAACAGACACTAGAGATACCCCACTCTCTAAAAATCCCAGCGGCTCCTGATTCCAGCTCACTTAGTTAGGCAAGGAAAAATCTCTTCCAGAAAATCCTTAAGCCCTGGTTTCCAGAGATTTCCAGTGACTAAAATGGAGTCGGGGGACATAACGCTTCTACTTTGTGTAAATGTGTACGTGCAAATTAAGATAAGAAACAAAATGTCAGGTAATGTGGAAAACCCTAATTATGGAACAAGCAGGACTGGCTGTGCTCAGTTCTTTTTGTTTGTTTGTTTGTTTTTTGCGGTACGCGGACCTCTCACTGTTGTGGCCTCTCCCGTTGCGGAGCACAGGCTCCGGACGCGCAGGCTCAGCGGCCATGGCTCACGGTCCCAGCCGCTCCGCGGCATGTGGGATCTTCCCAGACCAGGGCACAAACCCGCGTCCCCTGCATCGGCAGGCGGACTCTCAACCACTGCGCCACCAGGGAAGCCCTGCTATGTTTTTATGGTTGGTGGCTGGAAGCTATTTCTTTACCAAAAGTATCACTGGGTCCTCAGCTGAAACGTTATGCTATTGATTAGGAGAGAAATGATGGTGTTCCCTTGAGCCACGTGGCTACTGATGATGTCTAGCTGGATGGATAAGGGGCCAGCTCTCGAATCAGAAACTCTTGGGTTGTGTCCCTGCTGCTCGTGGCTGTCTGACATTTGGTAAGTGGATGTCTCTGAGCCTCTGGTTTCTTCGTTTTTTAAAATGGCAACAACAACTAATATTTATCAAGTGTGAGCTGTGTGTGTACTCTAAGCCAGTGTTATTCTAAGATTTTATCAACTCATTGAGTACTTGTAACATACCATTGTTGTTCTTGGTGTACAAATGAGAAAGTTGAGGCACAGAAAGGTTAAGTATCTTGCCCAAGGTCACACAGCTAATAAATGTCATCACTGGGATTCCATAGGTGGTTTGACTGGAGCCCGTGCTTTAACCATCACAAAAAAATGCTCTCACGAGGCTGTCGGGGTGTGTGTGTGTGTGTGTGTGTGTGTGTGTGTGTGTGTGTGTGTGTGTTACAAGATCATAAAAGCAAAATGCTTCCTGGGCTACCTGACACTGAGTAAATGCTCAATAAATTACAGAAGTTAATCATTACAAGTTAATTTCTTTGGTTAAGCACAAACACAAAGGTTACTACAGCACACACGTGGCTGACGATGAGGACGCTGCTGCCTGCGATGGTACTATTCCTGGACTGGTGTCCTCCCCACCTGTCCTCAGCTAGCATTCTGCCTTAGAATCACGGCACAGGCAGGAACAGTGGCGCTCTGCCCTTGAGTCGCTATACTGACCTCTTCTGTGGGGAGCTCGTACAGAAATCTAAGTAGGGGCAGCTGTGGGGGACCAGGTCTGATGTCCACTTGCCAAGAAGAATGACAGATTCCGAAACGAGGGGCCCAGTTCTAACTCCAAGGCTGTAGACACGTGCTTCTGAAATTCTCCACAAATGGTTCATCACCATTTGGCAGCGTGGCAGCGTGCACTCAAAAAATTGGCACAATTAGAGATCTGGCGTGGAAGACTCTACGGGTGGCGGAGTAACTGTCCGATGCTCTCTTCATCCTCACGCAGACAGTCCCTGTTCTGTTCGGGTCCTGAGCAGGCAGCAATACCCACAGAAGAGGCATTCCTATTACCTCTGTCAGAGGCTGGCTTAGGAGGACATCTGGCCCCATCTGGCCAATGAGACATAAGGGGAAGTCAACTGGAGATTTCTGGGGACATTTTCTTCCCTAATAGAAGACAGAGAGTTGCAGTGAAAGACCCCCTTTTCCTGCCTGACATTCTTCCTGATAAGGTGACGACTGCAGCAGAAAAGGGCGTCTCAGAGAAGCGAATCCTGTGCCCAGATGTGCCTGAGCCATCAGAGGCATCCTTCTGGTACAGCTGACAACACCAGGTGCTGGGAGGGACATGGGGAAACAGAAACTCCTGAGCACCACTGGTGGAAAGGCAAACAGGTACAGTCATTCTGGAAAACAATCTGGCAGCACTTGTGAAATGAAGTCTGAGTGGCACAATGACTCACCCATCCCAGCCCTGGATCTGTACCAGAGAAACTCTCCCACAGGCCACCCGGGGACAGATGTGAGGTGTTCATCACCGAACCTGGCTGGGTTTCCCTAACGGCTGTCAGCAGGGGCCGAAGGAGATAAACAAGGCAGGACCTACAGCAAGGGGAGGGCAGACACAGCCCCTCACATGAGCTAGGTGCACACAGACCAACAAGGATCTAAAAAAAGACAGTACTGAGTAAAAAGAAAAACAGAGGGAGATCTGTAACAGAATCCTGTTTGTCAAAATGAAAAACAGATACCTAATCAGAACAGAACAGTAGGTACCATCTGGGGCACGGAGCAAACACGCTGGCAGTAGTAGGAAGGAGTCTGACAGTTTCTTCCCAATGGAGAGCTGATCTCTCTCTCTAACTTCCCACAATCCCGGGAAGGATATAATGCCGTATGTGACTGTCACATCGCAGATTGTCACTGCTGTCCTTAAGGTGGCCTCCTCTTCTGCGCCATGATCCCCCAGAAGTCTGGGCAAGGTTTGGTGGGACAGAAATGCCATGTGTCCCTGAGCGCCATTTTGTTTCCAGTTTTGCCCCTAAATGCATCAGGTTCTAAAAAAACCCCTTCCCCGCACACCACCCCCTTCTCTCCTCCTGGAACATGTCTTTCAAATACATTCCCCAAATAGGGACACAAGGTCAAAGTGATGCTTTGACAACTCCTGGCAAATAGTTTTGCCCAAAGAACGATATATGCCGCCACTAGCCATGGAGGTTCCTTACCAATTCTTAGAATGAATTCCAAATCCTATCATTCTAGCTCTTGGTGACTTGCGGCGAACGGGTCGCCACAGTCACACTGTTCTGGTGAGCGCCACTTCCCCCCACCCCCGACTTCCCTGATGCTCTATTTTCCTCTTATGAGATCTGTCTGCACATAGAGTGACCGCTCTCACACAGGCAGTTCTGAAGAGCGCAGTGGGCTAATGGGAAAGTTAGGGCGGGAGGGGCAGCAGCCTAAGCCCACCTGGGAAAGAAGGAAAATCAGAGGAATAACAACAGAAATGTTTGCATGAAAAACTGCAATTTAAAAGTCCTACATTCACTGAGAAAGGAACTCTATAAAATCTCTGCACATACCTGAGGGATGGAAGGGAACGTGCAGGAGTGAAAATCAGAGCTGGAATGCGGTGGATTACGGCTCTGGGGTTCCGGGCATTCTTTAGAATTTTTCTTTAACTTCCCTGGTGGCTCCTGCACCCCTGACTCCATCTCCCCAGCCCTCAGGCTTCTCTGCAGACCGGGGTGTTCACCGAGCACTCCTCTGCCCTCAGTCAGGCTAATTCCTACACCTCCCTCCCAGCTCAACTTCAACATCAGTTTCCCTGGGAAGCATCCCCCTGCCTCCGAGAGCTGATTCGCTGCCTGCTCTCACCCTACCCAGACATCCTGTGCTTCTCTGGTCCCAGGGTCTGGAACAGCGATGGCTTGAGCTGGGCTGCTTCAACGCTGACCTTTTGATTAGAAGCTTAGCATTTCATTTCAGGGAGTGGACAGAAACACCTGGACGGTACCAGCCATGGCAGGACAGTCTGGCCTGGGAGAGGGGAG